TGGGACCAGTATTTTATTTGCCCGACGTTTCGGACTCTCACTCGAGGCCATTTTCAAGGCATGAAAACGTACAGCTTACTGCGTGATATAGTCAGCTCTATCGGGGGTGACCTTGAGTTCCCATTGTTAGCTCCGTCGCGAGTGACCTTGAGCCCTGCCATTGCTCGCACAATGCGAAATAGGCGTCTGGGAGATCGATATGCCTATTGATAGAGTCCGCGTGTGAGTGACATGCTTCTTGCAGTTGGCGTGAGACTCGGTCGTCCGACTGACTTGTAATTGCTGGTCATTTTGACGTGCGATTATGGAACATTCGCAGACAAACCGTCCCTAATTGAGCCTTGAATGCTACAGTGGAGGAGGTAGATAGCCCTCTGCTGCCTACTCAGACTCTGTGGAAACTTCGTATTTGGGTTATGTAAGATAACGCTCAAATTCAGAGAAGAATACTTTCCATGGTCTTAGTTCGCGGCTCATCTTATTCATGAAATAGACTTCAACCACCCGATCGTAAGTTTCGAAATCAGATTAACCTGGAACCGTTCCCCCCCTTGCCGCTTCAATCGGTTAATAAACGCTGGACCTAGGGTAAGAATGACTTGTATGGTCGCGTAGACAGGACACAGGAACAGAAACCGTCCACAATACACGTACCTTTGCGCAACATTCCAGGGTACTTAGGTTTAGGATTAGGGCGAGGGTTAGTGTTAAGCTTACGGTTAGATTTAAGGTTGGGTCTAAGGTTAGTGTTGGATTTAGGGTCAGGATTATGTTTGGGATTAAGGCTTGAGTTCGTGTTAGCTGTAGGGTTTAGGTTTAGGTTAGGGCTAGGGTTAAGAGATTACGGTTACAGTTTAGTGTTAGTGTTAAGGCACGAGACTATTTGCTCTGTCTGAAATGTATCGCAATACCACCTATTTTAAGTAGGCGGGGCGTTCCCTATTCCCGCGTCCTGTTAAGGCGGCCACTCAAGTCATCCTTACCCCACACAGACCGTGGCCGAGGGCTACGGAGTATGAGATTTGAATGTCAGCAAAAGTTTGCTGTTCATTGAGTGGAAAACAGGTTAGTCAAAAAAATTGTCATAAAAAGCATTGGCTCTCCAAGTCAGTGTTAGTTCAGCGCAAATG